TCAGGACATTGCAGGTGTGGGTTGGGAAAAGAGAAAGATACAACTGAACAAAAAGAGTTGTTATTTCTATAGTCCTTGACTTACGACCACAATTGTTCCCAGAATTTCCACTGCCAAGCTATTAAGTGAATTTTGCTCCACTTTACAACCTTTTTCCCCCCACGGTTGTTAAGGAAATCACTGCAGTTATTAAGTGAGTGATGGTCGTTAAGCAAATCTGGCTTCCCCCATTGACTTTGCTTCTCAGAAAGTTGCAAGAGGGGATCACATGACCCTGGGACACTGCAACCGTCATAAATATGAAGCAGTTGCCAAGCGCCCAAATTTTGACTGCAGGGATGCTACAATGATCGTTAAGTGTGAAAAGTGGTCCTAAATCACTTTTTTTGGTACTGTCGTAACTTAGAAAGGTTACTAAATGAATGGTTGTAAGTCGAGCACTTATTTTAATTCGATGGATTGAAAACATTGACACGTTTTTCAATGCAGGACGTTCAGCTCCTCGACAGCAAGGCTGTCAGCGACAAAAAGCACATGACAAAACAAAGCAAGACAACATGCAGTGCCCTGAGGTTACATCAGCCAGAGCTCACAAACCACACTCGACCGTTTTAAGCGGCATGCGTCAAAACACAGACATTGCTCACGGGGTTGCGCACACTTACAGGGTGATGATGGATAGTTCAGCCATCCTACAAGAATGCTGGTTAGTCCTCTCGGACTTACAGTAGCATTTCTGAACGCAGCTGCTGAGTGTGGGACGAGGTCAGCCAAAGAAAACACAAAACAAACACAAAATAAACAAAAAAATTTGCTTTTTTTCTCTCCACGTTCATCAGATCAAGGACAAGAAGTCCGTCAATAGGGAGAACTGAACCGCCACATCCTCAAAAAACGATCAATTAATCAATAAAGCTGATCAGCAGAATGGCCCAGACGCAAAAACGATACAGAAGCCATGAGAAAACAAGACGTAATGTTGTGTGACGCTATAACACACAAGCAGACAACGTCAAGCAGATGGAACAAACAATGATTGCGTGAGTGGGTGATAAGAGTATCCAGATCTTAAACAACAACGATGGGGGGGGGGATGCTTAAATAGGAAGAAAAGATGGGAGAGAATTTTGCTGAAGTTTCAGTGTAGAAAAAGCCACAACTGTACAGGTAGTCCTCGATTTACAACAATTCATTTTGTGACTGTTCAAAGTAACAAAGCACTGAAAAAAAGTGACTTAGGACTGATTTTTCACCCTTACAACCCATTGCAGCATCCCCATGGTCACATGATCAAATTTCGGATGCTTGGCAACTGACTCATACTTATGACGGTCACAGCGTCCCAGGATCACGTAAGCATTTTTTTTTGTGACTTCTGACAAGCAAAGTCAATAGGGGAAGCCAGATTCACTTAACAACCGTGCAGTGATTCATTCTGCAAACTGTGGCAAGTCAAAAAATGGGACAACATTCACTTAATTAATGTTTCACTTAGCAACAGAAAATTTTGGTTCAATTGTGGTTGTAAGTTAAGGACTACCTGCATTGCTGTTAAACATTCAACGGAGGTTGAGAACATCAAGATAGGAATATTGCTAAATGTTTATGAAAACTAATAATAATAATAATAATAATAATAATAATAATAATAATAATAATAATAATAAAGTTGGAAGGGACCTTGGAGGTCATCTAGTCCAACCCCCTGCTCAGGCAGGAGACCCTATGCCATTTCGGACAAATGGCTGTCCAATTTCTTCTTAAAAACTTCCAGTGTTGGAGCATTCATTGCTTCTAGAAGGAGGTTGTTCAACTGGTTAATCACTATCAGGAAGTTTCTCCTTAGTAATTCTACTTTACAGGTAGTCCTTGACTTATAACCATTCCTTTTGGTGATCAGTTACAACAGCCCTGAAAAAAGTGACTTAGGGCCGATTTTCACAATTATGACTCTTGGTCATGGGATCAAAATTTAGAGGCTTGGCAACCGGCTCATATTTATTTTGAAATCCCCCAGCTATGCTGGCTGGAGTATTCAGGGATTTAAAGTCCACAACTCTTAAAGTTGCCAAATCTGGGGAGCCCCTGCTTTAGTGGGTAGATGATGGCATAAAGTAGGTACAAGATACCATGAAAATGACACTTTTCTTTTTTTCTTCTGTTGGGGGAAATTTCAGAGTTTTAGCCTTGCTTTGGAAATGTATTGGGCTTTTCTCAAGGTGAAACCAAGGTAGTGACAGATTTTATCTTCCTGGGCTCAGATGGGGACTGCAGCCAAGAAATTAAAAGACGCTTGCTCCTGGGGAGGAAAGCTATGGCAAATCTAGACAGCAAAGCAGAGACATCACCCTGCCAACAAAAGTGCGTATAGTCCAGGCCATGGTTTCCCCAGTTGCAATGTATGGCTGTGAAAGTTGGACCATAAGAAAGGCTGAGTGCCAAAGAATGGAGGCCTTTGAACTATGGTGCTGGAGAAGACTCCTGCGAGTCCCCTGGACTGCAAGGCGATCAAAGCGGTCAGTCCTGGAGGAGATCAACCCTGACTGCTCTTTAGAAGGCCAGATCCTGAAGTTGAGACTCACATGCTTTGGCCACCTAATGAGAAGGAAGGACTCACTGGAGAAGAGCCTGATGCTGGGAAAGATGGAGGGCAAGAGAAGAAAAGGGGACGACAGAGAATGAGGGGGCTGGATAGAGTCACTGAAGCACTAGGTATGAGGACAGGAAGGCCTGGAGGAACGTTGTCCATGGGTTGGTGATGGGTCAGACACGACTTCGCAACTAACAACAACAACAAACCAAGGTTTGATGGGTTTTTGCCAAAGAAAACTCAAAGAATTCTATATTCCACATTCTGCAAGTACACTACTGAAATTTGATGAATCTGGCAACTGCAAAATAGCTCAGGGATATTAAATCAGCTCTCCCTGATTTAAATTTTCAGCTGTGGTGAAGATGGTGGGCTAGAACTGGGGACATCAATTTCAAATCAGAATTAATTTAACATTTAAATATGAGCCAGCCATGTGCTGCAGCTGCCAAAAATGCCAATGCAGTCCTAAGTTGCATCAACAGAAGGATAGCATCAAGATCACGAGAACTGATTTTGCCACTTTATACTGCATGGTAAGGCCACACTTGGAAAACTGCATCCAGTTTTGGTCAGTACACTGTAAAAAAGGTGTTGAAACTCTGGAAAGAATGCAGAGAAGAGCAACTAAGATGATTAGGGGGCTGGAAGCTAAAACAAATGAAGAACGGTTGCTGGAATTGGGTATGTCTAATTTAATGAAGAGAAGGCCGAGGGGGGATATGATAGCAGTCTTCCAATATCTCAGGGACTGCCCCAAAGAAGAGGGAGTCAAGCTATTCTCCAAAGCGCCTGAAGGCAGGACAAGAAGCAAGGGATGGAAACTAATCAAGGAGAGAAGCAACCTAGAACTAAGGAGAAATTTCCTGACAGTTAGAACAATTAATTATGACGCCTCCACAAGTTGGGGGGTGCTCTAACACCAGAGGTTTTTAAAAAGAGATTGCACAATGGTGCATGAACACGGGGTTGGACTAGAAGACCTCCACGTTCCCTTCTGTTTTTCTGTTGTGATTCTGTTTTTGTTTTTCTGTTATTCTCTTTTGGGTGCTCCATCACTGCAGCTCTTCAAGGCGAGATTGGACAAACATTTGCCCAAAATGCATGAGCCAAGGGTTGGACTAGATGACCTCCAAGGTCCCTTCCAACTCTTGTTAGTCTGTAATTCTGTAAAATACCCTCTATCGACCGGATTTCTCCCATCAACAAGCTTCTGCACTGCTCTAGATGTTAATATTCTACCTATTTTCCTGCTTTGCTGACGATGAACCATTAACCCTGACATTTAGAGAAAATAAGCACTCAGCGCTTGAATCGTCCATCAAAATCACAAGGATAGAAAACCACGCTTATAAAATATTAGGTATTGAGTAAACTACATCCGCCCAACAGGAAGAAAAGAGTCGTCAACAACTACAGGGAGTCTTCAACTTAGTGATCGTTTGAAGTTACAACGGCCCTGAAAAAAATGACTTATGATCATTTTTCACACTTATGACCATTGCAGCATCCCCATGGCCACGGGATCAAAATTCAAATACTTGGCAATTGACTCGTATTTATGACGGTCACAGTCTCCCAGGGTCATGTGATCCCCTTTTGTGACCTTCTGGCAAGCAAAGTCAATGGGAGAAGCCAGATTCACTTAACAACTGTGTTACTAATTTATCAACTGCAGTGATTCGCTTAACAACTGTGGCAAGAAAGGACGTAAGGTGGGACAAAATTCACTTAGCAATAGAAATTTGGGGCTCAGTTATTTAGTAAAGGACTAGCTATACTAAAGTATCTGAAATGACAAATCCTTATATTTTTATGCCATGGTAGCCATTAATTCAGCATTCATAAAATTTCAAAACACCTTTTTTTAAGTGGCCTATTGATCTGAGTTGATGGTTGGTTTTCACTTCTGTTATTCTGAATGGTTCAATGAGTTGAAGGTTTATTTCTACACTGGTTCTTTGACTTTCTTTTAATTAATTCCCCAGAATCAATTAATTGCGGTAGAATAACAATTGAGGAAATGATTAAATAATGAAGGATTAAGCGTTCAGTTCACTGGTATGGATTTTATTCCTAGAATCTCTGAAGGAGGCAGCTGTCTTTACTGGGAAAAAAAAACACCACTTCTCTTAAAATGAAATTTTAAATGGTTTATGTGTCTCCCAAATCCCATCACTTTTGCGGAGAGGTGTGTCCTTAAGGAACTAAATGACATGCAGCACAAGTAGCCAGCTCCAAATTATCATATTTCAGACACATTATATGAAAATCTCTTTCTTTGGAGAAGGCTCTGATGCTGGGAATGACGTAAGGGGATAGAACATCAGAAGAATAGAGTTGGAAGGGACCTTGGAGGTCTTCTAGTCTAACCCCCAGCTCAAGCAGGAGACCCTATACTTACTATTCCAGACAAATGGTTGTCCAATCTCTTCTTAAAAACCTCCAGTGATGGAGCACCCATAACTTCTGGAGGCAAGCTGTTCCACTGGTTAATTGTTCTCACTGTTAAGAAAGTTCTAGGTTGCTTCTCTCGTTGATGAACCCAAAGGTGCTTTTTCAAGAGGCAACTGGACTTTCTTTGTTTTTCCTTGAAGATGTTTTGCTTCTCATCCAAGAAGCTTCTTCAATTCTCTTCTCTCTAGACATCTCTCCTTGATAAACTTCCACCCATTACTTCTTGTCCTGACCGCAGGTGCTTTGGAGAAGAGAAGATGAGGATGACCAGCAGCAACGTGAAAAGAGGCACCATTAGAAGACTTGAAGAACAAGGTTGGAGACAGATGGTCATGGAGAAAATCTACTGTGAGATTATTAAGAGTTGACATTGACTTGATGCTTTGGTTCAACCAACCGGTGAATCAATGTGAAAATTCATCTCACTCAAGGAATCCATGATGTTTGGAAGGGTGGAAGGAAACAGAAGACCAGAAATAAGGTGGATGCACCCACTAGTGGTCTCTGCACCCGTTACTTCTTGTCTTGTCTTGTCTTCAGGTGCTTTGGAGAAGAGAAGGAGAGGAGGAAGGTCAGCAGCAAGGTGATGTGGGTACCATTAGAAGACTTCAAGGACCAGGTTGGTGGTAATGCATGAAGTCCATGATGTTTGAAAGGGTGGAAGGAAAGAGAAGAAGAGGATGACTAGCAGCAAAGTGGATGGGGGCACCATTAGGAGATTTGAAAGACCAGGTTGGAGAAAGGTAGTCATGCAGAAAATTCATATGATTGCTAATAGTTGACATCAACTTTATGCTTCAATTCAACCAACCAATGAATCAATGCAAAGACTCATCTTGCTTGAGAAGTCCATGATGTTTGGAATGAAGGAAAGAAAGAGAAGAAAAGGATGACCGGGTAGCAAGGTGGATGGACACAGTAGTGATCTCTGTGTCCTTTAAACTTCCACCCATTACTTCTTGTCATGTCCTCAGTTGTTTTGGGGAACAGAAGAAGAGGATGACTAGCATCAAGGAGATGTGGGTCTCATTAGAAGACTTGAAGGACCAAGTTGGTGACAGTCCATGAAGTCCATGATGTTTGGAAGAGGGGAAGGAAAGAGAAGAAGAGGATGACCAACAACAAAGTGGATGAACAGATTGGTGAACTTTGCACCCTTTCAAGACCTGAAGAACCAGGTTGTGAAGAGATGCTCCTGGAGAACATCTACGCATGGGGTTGCTAAGAGTCAATACTGACCTGATGGAACATAAATCAGTCAAATAAGGAACCAACTCTTAAAGTTATTCTGAAACAGAGCTGCAAAAATCATTGACGGGGATGTTCTATCTACAGCTGTGGCCACCAGCATGGAAGAAGAAGAAGCAGGGGTTGATTCTGATACTTGATAAACTTCTGGAAAGCTCCTTTTAGAAGCATCTGAAGATAGAGGAGCAGTCAAAAAAGTCAACATGGTGGCTTTATCAGGACCTTTTTTTAAAAAATCTCCTCCTGCAGATACTTTGGGCTCTTTTACATAGATCATGAACATTGTACAATCTCTTGGTATATCAAGTTCTTCTTCAAATGTGGCCTTCCCAACTAGCAAACCCCAAAGATATCAAAGTTCAGGTAGTCCTCGACTTACGACCACAATTGAGCCCAAAATTTCTGTTGCTAAGAGAAACGGTTCTTGAGTTTTGCCCCATTTCACGATTTTTCTTGCCAGAGTTGTTAAATGAATCACTGCACCTGTAATCTCGAACGGTCACTAAATGAATGGTTGTAAGTCAAGGACTACCTGTATTCCCTAAGGCCACTGTCAACCAAAGAAGAAAGAAAGGAAGATTATGTTTATTTGGGGAGAGAAGTCTTAATTTTCCTTTTTTTTCCAAATGCTGCTCTTTCAACAAAAGCTGCTTTTCACCCCCAAATTCTGTCATTTGGTGGAAGTTAAAAAGGAAGAATCTTCCTTCCCACGTACATTGGGAAAGACAGGCACAGTAAATCAACAATGTAAGACAGTGGTTCTCCACCTGTGGGTCGGGACCCCATTTGGGGGCGAACGACCATTTCACGGGGGTCGCCAAACAACACAGTCCGCCATTTTCCCCTCCTTTTCCTTAGCTGTGCTACTCCCTTTTATTCCACTGCCTTTTGAAAGCCAATAGAACAGACTCTCTTGAATAGAGTCTAATTCTATTGGCTTTCAAAAGCCAATAGGAATTGTCCAGGCTGTCTCTGCCCTGCTGAGCCCACCAAAAGTCCCATTCTGCAAACGGTGCTGCACCAGTTGAGTAGTCCTCGACTTACGACCGGTTGAGTAGTCCTCAACTTACAACAGCATTAAAAAGCTTAAGAACCACTGATGTAAGGCATGATTGATGCTTGCAATTGCTACTGATTTTATTTATGGACTAAAGGAAATTTCTCTCCCCAAGTAAACATAATTTTCTTTTCTTTCTTTCTCTCTGAGCATGATTGTTTTCTTACAGACGTTTCAGGACCTAACTAGGTAATATCATCAGGGCTAGAAAGGAATAAGATTTGCTGTCTCCTCTCCCTTCTAGCAAAAATGATATTATCTAGTTGGGTCATGAAACGTCTGCAAGAAAACAAATCAAGTTCAGAAAACACCAAGGACCTCACAGTCGTCCTCCTCCTCCTCCTCCTCCTCCTCCTCCTCCTCCTCCTCCTCCTCCTCCTCCTCCTCCTCCTCCTCTCTGCAATCTCCACTCCCTTCTAGCCCTAACAAAGTTATTTAGTTGGGTCATGAAACGTCTGCAAAGAAAACAATCAAGCTCAGAGAGCACCAAGGACCCCACAGTTCAACTCTCAGCTACAAATATTCTTATTTTTTTTCCTGAGGATATCTCAGAGTCAAAACTGTGGTGCTTTGAATATTTCACTGTATACTTACAAGTAGATACTGGATTCATTGCCGCCAATGTCTGGTGACTGGAGCTTCTGAACCAAGATGATAATGATGCCAACGAAAAGCAAAAAATTGATCTTGGAAGAGGGGGAAAAAAAAAAGAAATGAATCAGCCAATGATGAAGAAATCTGTGTCTTCCAATTAAAAAAAGGCAAAGAATTTTCAATCCAGCAGACTCATTTTTTTTTTTTGCAACCCACTGTTTAATTGCTAATGAAATAAAACATAAGAATATCTGTAGCACCTTCAATATTGCAAAACAATCATTCCAGGTCACTCTCAATTTACATTAACCATTTAGTGAGAGTTCAACATTACAAAGGCAGTGAAAAAAAAGGATTTCACATTTACAACCATTGCAGCTTCCCCATCCAAATTCAGACAGTTGACAACTGACTCATATAATGGCGGTTGCAGTGTCCTGGGGTCATATGATCCTCTTTTGTGACCTTCTCATTAGCAAATCAACCGGGAAGCCAGATTCACTTAACAAATTTGTTACTACGGTAATTTAATAACCACAGTAATTCATTTATCAATTGTGGCAAGAAAAGTTGCAAAATGGAACAAAATTCACTTAATAACCGTCTCGCTTAGCCACAAAAATTTTGGACTCAATCGTGATCATAAGTTGAGGACTACCTGTATATCCTAAGCTATGAAAAAGGTGACTTACAACTTATCTCCACAGTTGGTGAGTTCCCCATCTATCCTCTCATCCAAATCAACATCTTCATCAACGATTTGGACGAGGGGATAGATGGGGAACTCATCAAATTTGCAGATGACACCAAGCTGGCAGGAATAGCCAACACTCCAGAAGACAGGCTTAAGATACAGAAGAATCTGGACAGACTTGAACACTGGGCGCTATCTAACAAAATGAAATTCAATGGTGAAAAAAGTAAGGTTCTACATTTAGGCAAGAAAAACCAAATGTACAGGTATAGTATAGGGGGTACCTTGCTCAATAGTAGTAACTGTGAGAGGGACCTCGGAGTCCTAGTGGACAATCAGTTAAATAGGAGCCAGCCGTGTGCTGCAGCTGCCAAAAAGGCCAACACAGTGCTGGGCTGCATTAACAGAGGGATAGAATCAAGATCACGTGAAGTATTAATACCACTCTTCAATGCCTTGGTAAGGCCACACTTGGAATACTGCATCCAGTTTTGGTCACCACGATGTAAAAATGATGTTGAGACTCTAGAAAGAGTACAGAGAAGAGCAACAAAGATGATTAGGGGACTGGAGGCTAAAGCATATAAGGAACGGCTGCTGGAATTGGGTATGTCTAGTTTAATGAAGAGAAGGACGAGGGGGGACATGATAGCAGTGTTCCAATATCTCAGGGGCTGCCACAAAGAAGAGGGAGTCAAGCTATTTTCCAAGGTGCCTGAAGGCAGGACAAGAAGCAACAGGTGGAAACTAATCAAGGAGAGAAGCAACCTAGAACTAAGGAGAAACTTCCTGACAGTTAAAACAATTAACCAGTGGAACAACCTGCCTCCAGAAGCGGTGAATGCTCCAACACTGGAAGTTTTTAAGAAGAGACTGGACAGCCATTTGCCTGAGCAGGGGGTTGGACTTGATGACCTCCAAGGTCCCTTCCAACTTTATTATTATTATTATTATTACTAGTAGTAGTAGTAGTAGTAGTAGTAGTAGTGGTTACGACTGTTGCAAAATGCCCATGGTGATGTGATCAAAATTCAGATGCTTGGCAGCTTTCATATTTATGACGGTTGCTGTGTCCTGGGTCATGTGATCCCCTTTTGCGACCTTCTGAGAAGCAAAGCCACTGGGGAAGCCAGATTCACTTAACAACTGTGACAAGAAAGGTCGTACAATGGGACTAAACTCACTTAACAACTGTTTTGTTTAACAAAAGAAATTTGGGCTTTCTTTGATAATCTACCATCCGTTGCTTCTTCTCCTGCCTTCAGGCACTTTGGAGAATAACTTGACTCCCTCTTCTTTGGGGCAGCCCCTGAGATATTGGAAGACTGCTGTCATGTCCCCCCTCGTCCTTCTCTTCATTAGACTAAACACACCCAATTCCAGCAACTGTTCATCATACTATTTAGACTCCAGTTCCCTGATCATCTTTGTTGCTCTTTTCTGCACTCTTTCTGGAGTCTCAACACCTTTTTTATATTGTGGTGACCAAAACAGTATCCTCCATTTGTTTCATATCGGTATCTGGATATAGATTTGACGTCAGTTACATGAAGGTTTATCAATCATGTGTAAAATTACACTGGTACTCCCCAGTGCTTTGCAAGGCTTGGTTCCAAAGTTGCAGATATGGAACAAAGAACCATAGAGTTGAAAGGGATCTCAGAGGTCTACTAGTCCAACTGGCTGCTCAAGGCTGGAGAACTGATACCATCCTAGGTGAATGGTTGTCCAGTCTATTTTTGAAAACTTCCAATGTTGAAGCACCCACAAAATCTGGAGGCAAGCTGTTCCATTGTTTAATTGTTCTAATATTGGGAAATTTCTCCTTAGTTCTAGGTTGCTTCTCTCTTTGGTGAGTTTCCATCTATTGCTTCTTGTCCTGCCCTCAGGCGCTTTGGAGAATAGCTTGACTCCCTCTTCTTTGGGGCAGCCCCTCAAAAATTAGAAGATGGCTATCATGTCCCCCCTCGTCCTTCTCTTCATTAAACTAGACATTCCTGGTCCCCACAACCATTCATTGTATGTTTTAGCCTCCAGACATCATCTTTGTTGCTCTTCTCTGCACTCTTTCTAGGGCAGTGGTTCTCAACCTGTGGGTTGGGACCCCATTTGGGGTCGAACAACCATTTCACAGGGGTCGCCAAACAACGCAGTCTGCCATTTCCCCCCCCCCCTTTTCCTTAGCTGTGCTACTCCCTTTTATTCTATTGGCTTTTGAAAGCCAATAGAATAGACTCTCTTGAATAGAGTCTCATTCTATTGGCTTTCAAAAGCCAATAGGAATTGTCCAGGCTGTCTCTGCCCTGCTGAGCTCGCCAAAAGTCCCATTCTGCAAACGGTGCTGCACCAGTTGAGTAGTCCTCGACTTACGACCGATTGAGTAGTCCTTGACTTATGATCGGTTGGGGTTCGTGGCATTAAAAAGGTTGAAAACCACTGTTCTAGGGTCTCAACCTCTTTTTTGGATTGTGGTGACCAAAACTGGATGCAGTATTCCAAGTGTGGCCTTATCAGTGTGGTATAAAGTCACACCCTAGATTTTAACCTTACTTAAGTGTGGATTCACGTTGAGCTGTGGCCAATAGCTGGACCATCCTCACATCCTAAATGGACTTACCATTATGGACGCCACAACTGGACCTTTGATCACCCACCATAAAGCCGTGTTGTCGTTTATGTCCCAACATCTGATGGGAAAAGAAGAAAGGCAGTCAAGAGGACTTAGGAATAAAATTAAAATTGCCCGCCCAGAACAAATACAGGCAGTCCTTGATTTACAGCCATTCATTTAGTGACAGTTCAAAGTTACAATGGCTCTGAAAAAAGTGATCTATGAGCACTCCTCACATTTACGACTTTTGCAGCATCCCAAATCATTAAAATTTGGCAATCAATGTATTTTTATGATTGCAGCATCCTGGAGTCATTTGACCATTTGTATCCTCCCCAGCTGGCTTCCTACAAGCAAAGTCAATGATGGAAGCCGGATTCACTTAACGGCCATGTGATTCACTTAGCAACTGTGGCAAAAAAAATCATAAAATCGGGCACGACTCACTTAACAACTGCCTTGCTTAGCAATGGACATTCTGGATCAATTATAAGCTGAGGAATACTTGTACATCTTAAAGGAAATCTAATCCTTTATTCTTTGAAGACTCACCTGATTCTTGGATACAGTATTAACTAAATTCTAATTCTTTTAATACAGGTAGTCCTCAACAGTTCATTTAGTGACCGTTCAAAGTGATTTATGACAATTTTTCACACTTATGACTGTTGCGTCATCCCCATGGTCACGTGATCAAAATTCAGATGCTTGGCAATTGACTCATACTTATGACGCCTGCAGCATCCTAGGGTAACATGATCCCCTTTTGTGACCTTCTGGAAGCAAAGTCAGTGGGGAAGCTGGATTCACTTAACCATTGTGGTATTAATTTACCAAATGCAATCATTCCCTTGACAACTTGTGGCAAGAAAAGTCGTAAAATGGGACAAAACTCCCTTAACAAATGTCTCACTTAGCAACAGAAATTTTGGGCTCGGTTGGGGTCGTAAGTTGAGGATTATATGTATTAATTAAAACTCAGCTAGTTCTAAGTACACATTTTAGGGATTCCTTTCCTTCTCATGTGTTTTACGCATCTACTTCTTAGCTTCTTAAATCATGTAGAAAATGCAAAATAGTCACTCAGCACCAGTATCCAGATTATTCATTACAGGTTGTCCCCAACTTATGACTGATCGCTTAGTGACTGTTCCAAGTTATGTCTTCCCTAGAGCTATCTACGAGCTTGTTTCAAAGTTACAACGACCAGCCCCCATGGTCACATGATTGCATTTTGAGTAGTTAGTGATCAGCCCAAATTTATGGCTATTTGCAGTCATGTGACCTCCATTTATGAGATATTTTTTGGGGAGAAACCAGTGTTTAATTCCAATTTCCAGGAAAAAAACCCCCGCCCATTAGGTACAATGGTTTCACTTAAAGACCGCATGGTTCCTTTAATGACCATTAAAAAAAGGTGACCCTCTTTAACAACCAAGGCCTGCCGCAACTTACACCCATAATTCCAACCCAACTACAGTCATAGGTCAAGGGCTACCTGTATTCTATCTCTCTTTCTCTTACACAAACACAAATAGACAGACAGACAAAGACACCGTATTAACACCACAACGGAGAGATTAACAAAGTCACAATCATTTGATTAACCAAAATTGATGGCAGTTGTGCAGTCTTGACCTCCCCAAAGTCTGAAGGACAGTGCGCAAAACCTTGCCAGTTTTGTACCCGCTGTGATGCCAAGGAAGAGGTGTGCCATGCCACCTACCCAACATCATTGAAGTGAAGCCGAAGGACAGCCCAGACTGTGACACAAATGGTTGGAGTTCCTGGAGGAGAGGAGAAGAAACGTGACGGCGCCTGGGACAATTAGATGTTTTCCAGTCAAAAATGGAATTTAGGTTGGCATTCACTGGCCTAATAACCATCATTGTTGTTATTATTATTTACACACAGTCAACCAGGTAGGTTTGACTGGATCTGCTACTTCAGAGTAGGGGATCCTTCCCAAGGATCTAGAATAGTTACAGATAATGTGATGGCTAGCACAGGCAGTCCTCGACTTTTAACAACTGCCTTGCTTAGCTATGAACATCCTGGGGTCCCAGTTGTGGCCATACATTGAGGACTACCTGTAAATGAGTCTGCAACCCTACTAGAACTGATAATGTAACTTAGTTGGGTCATGAAACATTTGCTCAGGACACATCAAGGACTCCATAATCCTCCTCCTCCTCCTCCTCCTCCTCTCCATAAACCTCACTCCTTCATAGCATTGATGTTCTTACTTAGTTGGGTTAGGAAACATCTGCAAGAAATCACTAAGCTCAGAGAGCACCAAGAACTCCATAGTTCTTCTCCTTATCTCCCATTCTCTCCTCCTCCTCCTCCTCCTCCTCCTCCTCCTCCTCCTCTTCCTCCTCCTCCTCCTCCTCTTCCTCCTCCTCCTCCTCCCTGTAAACTCCACTCCCTTCTAGCACTGATGATGTTCCCTAATTGGGTTATGAAACCACCATGCTCAGAGAGCACCAAAGACTCTACAATTCAACTCTGAGCTAAAATGTCCTCTTCTGAAAAAAGCACTTACCCCAGCCAATGATAGTGTACCAGTAGAAGTATCTCCTCTCTGGAAAGAAGGTTTCCACAAGTAACGTAAAGAGGTACAGCCCCTCAATGAAAAGCCAGAAATAGTTGGACATCACACAGTAGTGGAAGAAGACCATCACCGCCTTGCATTCCACCTATGGAGGACAACCACCATTTTAGGCCAGCTTTTCCTTCAGATGAATAATTCCCATCTCCATTTGCTAGACCAGGGATCTCCATGACTGGTTGAGGAGTTCTGGGAGTTCACAAGTCTTAAGTTGCCAAATTTGGAGACCCCTGTGCTAGATTATCCCTTCTACCATTCCTTGTCAGAAGCTGTGCAAAATACTCATGATGAAAGTATCAAGCAATCAAACAGCTGATAGATTGGGAAGTGGCTCTATCTATCTATTTATCTATCTATCTATCTATCTATCTATCTATCTATCTATCTATCTACATCTCTTTTCTCTCTCTATCCATCTATCTAACATCTCTCTCTATTATCTATTAGCTCTCTCGCTCTATCTACTTACATCTCTCTCTCTATTATCTCTCTCTCTCTCTCTCTCTATCTATCTATCTATCTATCTATCTATCCATCTAACATCTCTCTCTCTATTATCTATTAGCTCTCTTGCTCTATCTACTTACATCTCTTTCTCTCTATTATCTATCTCTCTCTATCTCTCTATCCATCTAACATCTCTCTCTCTATTATCTATTAGCGCTCTCACTCTCTCTATCTACTTACATCTCTCTCTCTCTATTATCTATCTATCTATCTATCTATCTATCTATCTATCTATCTGTTATCTATTAGCTCTCTCTCTCTATCTACTTACATCTCTCTCTTTATCTTCTATCATCTGTCATCTATCTATCTATCTATCTATCTATCTATCTATCTATCTATCTATCATCAATCTATCTATCTATCTACCTACCTACCTACCTATCTATCATCTCTCTCTTATCTATTAGCTCTCTCTCTCGGTCTCTATCTATCTACTTATATTTCTCTCTATCTTATTGTCTGTCTGTCTGTCTGTCTGTCTCTCTACTTGCATATCTGTCTGTCTATCTATCTATCTATCTATCTATCTATCTATCTATCTATCTATCTATCTATCTATCTACATCTCTTTTCTCTCTCTATCCATCTATCTAACATCTCTCTCTATTATCTATTAGCTCTCTCGCTCTATCTACTTACATCTCTCTCTCTATTATCTCTCTCTCTCTCTCTCTCTATCTATCTATCTATCTATCTATCTATCCATCTAACATCTCTCTCTCTATTATCTATTAGCTCTCTTGCTCTATCTACTTACATCTCTTTCTCTCTATTATCTATCTCTCTCTATCTCTCTATCCATCTAACATCTCTCTCTCTATTATCTATTAGCGCTCTCACTCTCTCTATCTACTTACATCTCTCTCTCTCTATTATCTATCTATCTATCTATCTATCTATCTGTTATCTATTAGCTCTCTCTCTCTATCTACTTACATCTCTCTCTTTATCTTCTATCATCTGTCATCTATCTATCTATCTATCTCTCTATCTATCTATCTATCCATCAATCTATCTATCTATCTACCTACCTACCTACCTATCTATCATCTCTCTCTTATCTATTAGCTCTCTCTCTCGGTCTCTATCTATCTACTTATATTTCTCTCTATCTTATTGTCTGTCTGTCTGTCTGTCTGTCTCTCTACTTGCATATCTGTCTGTCTATCTATCTATCTATCTATCTATCTATCTATCTATCTATCTATCTATCTATCTATCTATCTATCTATCTATCATTAGTAGCTGGAATAGTAAAGTGGGCCAGAACTCACATTTGTAGTTAATTGGTTGCTGGCCCCTGCATGAGGCGATCTACGCTATGATTGGTTGTTGGGTGTAAAGGGGGAGTTTCCCTTTTTCCCTGCCTTTTTTCTTCTGTGTGTTCTTCTGCTGTTAATTTTACCTCATGATATCCCTGTGCACCTGACTATCTTGTCTGCTGTAAATATAAATGTTAAATATATTTATTTATATAAAACTACAAGTTTGTGTCAGCATTTCCGACTTTATTTGGACAGCTGCTATGCAATCCCTTCACACAAAACATAGCTTTGTTAGAAGGCCACAGTTTTCCACAGAGAAGGGTCCAAAATAGCATGGCTGCCGCAACCATATTTACTAGATCTTTCCAACAGAGTTGACAAGAATTGAACATAAGATTCTCTTGTGGACTCGGCCTCTCGGCATGATTTACCGTTGAGATAAGACAGTGGTTGCTGTCTTGTTCAGCATAGAGGATCCCGTCTTTAATGAAGACCGAAATGGCGCGCAGAATGAACGAAACAAAAAGATTCATATGAATAAAATTCCGGGTGCAATGCAGTTTCCTAATAGGAAAGAAAAAGAAAAGGGATTTTAAGAAATGGGGAAGAAAGATCGTGTCACATTTGCAAAGCATTCTCTGTATTGTCTTCCTATGTCTATGGGTGGACCACAATTGATGCCAAAATTACTGTTGTTAAGCGAGGTAGTTGTTAAGTGAGCATTGCCCCAATGGATGACCTTTCTTGCCAGAGTTGATAAGTTAGTAAAACGGTTGTTAAGTGAATCTGGCTTCCCCAGTGACTCTGCTTGCCAGAAGGTCGTAAAAGAAGGTCACAGCAATGGTCATAAATATGAGCCAGTTGCTAAATATCCAAATTTTCATCATGTGCCTATAGGGATGCTGCAATGGTTGTAAATGTGAAAAATGGCCATAAGTCATTTTTTTTAATGCTGTTGTAACTTCGAAAGGTCACTAGTAAGTTGAGGGCTATCTGTACTTATTTAGCCTAAGTCCTGTCAGATAACTGTTTTAAATCTAGATTGCCCGTGTTCATTTATTTATGACACGTAGTCATAAATATCAAACATGTGAATATATAAAAACACCTTCCTCCTCCTGTTTTCCCCATAGCAACAACACAACGTTGCGAAGTGGATTAGGCTCAGAAAGAGGGACTGGACCAGAGTCAACCATCTGGCTTTCATGGTTAAGGTGGGACTAGAATTCACTGTCTCCTGATGATACGCCTCAAGTTAGACAGCTGGCCTCCATACCTAAGGTGGAACTAGAACTCACTGTCTCGTGGTGATTGGCCCAATATCACCCAGCTGGCTTTCATGCCTAAGACAGGACTAGAATTCACTAACTCCTGGTGATTGGCCCAAAGTCAGCTTTCACACCTAAAGTAGAACTAGAACTCCCTGTCTCCTAGTGATTGGCCCAAAGTCACCCAGCTGGCTTTTATGTCTAAGGAAAACTAGAACTCACTGTTTCCTGCTTATTGGCCCAAAGTCACACAGGTGGCTTTCAGGGCTAAGGCAGCACTAGAATTCACCATCCCCTGGTGATGGAGGACTAGAACTCGCTGTCTCCTGGTGAGATCAACTTTGTCTCATGTTTGTGACAACTCACCTGAAACGGCACAAGATCACCATGGCGGTGGTGAGCGAAACAAGGGATGTACTGTAGCCGACTGTATACAAAGCCTTGACAGAGAGGTAGTAGTAAGCCTGTGGAATCAAAGAGCAAAGTTGGAGTTACTTTGAGGAAAGATTAAAAGATCAATGACTTGGTTTCCACTTTCTTTGTCTAAGAGTCCAAATTCACTCATTTCACGTGTATACAGGTAGTCCTCGACTTATGACCATTCATACAGCAGCCCAGGATCATCCTGACCCCTGAAGGCCACCCACATTCTGCATCAGACTGCAATGGGATGAGCCTGGATGGCATGGCTGCCTTGTTTAATGACAGCAATAAATTAAGGACAGTAATTCCAGATTCAGTTTGTGGTTGTAAATCGAGGACTATCTGTATATCTGATCTACAACCCCAAATGAAGCAGTTTTTACAAAGCACTGCATTCTAATGAAAGATTCTGGTCAAAGGTCTAGTCCTTGACTTACGACCGCAATTTAGGCCAACACTGCTAACCCTTAACATTTGTTAAGTGAGTTTTGCTCCATTTTACGACCTTTCTTGCCAGAATTGTGAAGTGAACCACTGCCACTGTTCAGTTACTCACACTGTTGTTAAGTGAATCTGGTTTCCCCATTGACTTTGCTTGTCAGATCACATGATCCTGAGACACTGCACATGAACAAGTGCTCATTTAATGACCATTTGAAAATGTAAGGGCACTGAAAAAAAGAGACTTAAAACCGATTTTCAGACTTATGATTGTCGTAGCATCCCCATGGTCACGTGATCAAAATTTGCAACTGACTCATATTTATGACAGTCACAATATCCTGGGCTTGTGTGATCCTCTTTTGTGACCTTCTGACAAGCAAAGTCAACCATGTTACTAACTTAATAGTTGCAGTGATTTACTTAACAACTATGGGAAGAAAAGTTGAAAAAGGGGGCAAAAGTCACTTAACAGCTGTCTCACATAGCAGCAGAAATTTTGGGCTCAATTCATTGGTGGGATTCAGCCAGTTCGCACCAGTTCGGCAGAACCGGTAGCTAATTTTTTGTTGCCCAGGCCCAGAATGGACTTCCAGAAGCGGCATCCACACAGAGAACTGGCTGATCACCTATTTGAATCCCACCACTGGCTCAATGGTGATCGTAAATCGAGGACTATCTGTAACTCAAAAACTCATTTGAATTAAGAAAATGCACACCTCCTGAATATTCAACTAGGCATTAACTAAATCATGTTAAGAATATGATATTATTATGTAGAACATATACAGATAATAATAATAATAATAAAGTTGGAAGGGACTTTGGAGGTCATCTAGTCCAACTCCCTGCTCAGGCAGGAAACCCTATACCATTTTGTACAAATGGCTGTCCAGTCTTTTCTTAAAAACTTCCAGTGTTGGAGCATCCACCGCTTCTGGAGGCAGGTTGTTCCACTGGTTAATTGTTCTAACTGTCAGGAAGTTTCTCCTTAGTTCTAGGTTGCTTCTCTCCTTGATTAGTTTCCATCCGTTGCTTCTCGTCCTGCCTTCAGGCGCTTTGGAAAATAGCTTGACTCCCTCTTCTTTGGGGCAGCCCCTGAGATATTGGAACTCTGCTATCATGTCCCCCCTCGTCCTTCTCTTCGTTAAACTAGACATACCCAATTCCACAAGATAATCCACAAGTTACAACCCTTTGTTTATTGACCGTGTCAAAGTTACAATGGCACTGAAAAAAGTGACGTGACCATTTTTCACATTGACAATCTCTGAAGCCTCCCCAGGGTCATGGGATCAAAATTCGCTTGGCAACTGACCCATATTTATGACGGTTGCAGTGTCCTGGAGTTATGTAGTCACCTTTTGTAAACTTCTGACCAGCAGAAAGCCAGAATTGCTTAACAGCATGTGACTAATTTAACAGTTGCAGTGATTCACATAAGAACTATAGCGAGAAAGGTCATAAAATGGGGTAATACTCACTTAACTGCTGTCTCTCTTCATAAAAGAAATTTTGGGTTCAATTGTAGCTGTACTTAGGCATATAAAGGTATTAATCTAGTTTACTGGCTCGGATCCTGTTTGGACAGGAGAGGTCAATTTTTTTGCTGTGATTTACAAGTGACATCCATGCCTCCAAACTGACATATTCTCATTGCCAGATTACCTGGCCGTTCCCTGTCATGGTGTCGTTCTCATCAAATCCGCAGGCATCGTAATAATGTGGGAATGGTTCAGACCAGCCTTCCAGGGTGCAGTTCCTGCTGACCAACTTAAAATCTACCGATCCGTCTGTTGGGAAAAAGGATGAAATGCAACATTTTTAGAAAAATTAGTAGAGTAGAGCAAGAAGCATTAGAGCAGGGATCTCCAAGTTTAAGATGGGTGGATTTTGGGAGTTGAAGTTCACCCATCAAAGTTGCCAAGCTTGGGAACCCCTGTTTTAGAGAAAGAGACAGAAGGATTTCAAGAGAAAACAGGCATTTTAATTTTTTGCTTGGCTTGGCTCTGGTGGCCTACACTGCAAGGCAGTTTGCAAGATCCCATAGATGGATTTGTCTTCAGTCGGATTGCTTGGTCAATGCTGGGGAAAAAGTGGATCAAGATTCGGGGGACTGGCAACTTCTAGCATCCTGGGGTCATGTGATTGCTATTATCACTTCCCAGTTGGCTTCAGACAAGCAAACTCAATGAGGGAGGCAGGATTCGCTTAGCGACCACAGATCATAAATTTGGATACGACCCACTTAACAACCACAGCGCTTAGTAAAGGTTGTTCTAGCTTGAATTGCAGCCATATGTCAAGGACTATGCAAAACATGCCAAGTAATAGTTTGAGAAGCAAACAGTTTGGTCTAGTGCAGTGGTTCTCAACCTTTTTAATGCCGCAACCCCCAACCGGTTGTAAGTCGAGGACTATTCAACCGGTCGTAAGTCGAGGACTACTCAACTGGTGCAGCACCGTTTGCACAATGGGATTTTTGGTGGGCTCAGCAGGGCAGAGACAGCCTGGACAATTCCTATTGGCTTTTGAAAGCCAATAGAATTAGACTCTATTCAAGAGAGTCTATTCTATTGGCTTTCAAAAGCCAATAGAATAAAAGGGAGTAGCACAGCTAAGGAAAAGGGGGAAAAAATGGCGGACTGCATTGTTTGGCGACCCCCGTGAAATGGTCGTTCGACCCCAAATGGGGTCCTGACCCAAAGGTGGAGAACCACTGGTCTAGTGGTTAAATTACCAAGCTAGAAACTGGGAGAGTCCCGCCTTAGGCATGAAAACCCAACTGGATGACTTTGGGCCCGTCCTTCTCTCTCAGCCCATCTCAAAAGGTTGTTGTTGTGGAAAAAATAGGGGGAGGAAGATGTACTGGGCACTTTCACTGCTTTGAGTGACTTACGGGCAGGATTAAAGAATCTAATAAATAAAATGAAATTCAGTATATAAAATTGGGCACGGCTCAGTTAACAATCACACAGCTTAGCAGTGGATGCTCTCAACTGTGGTTGTAAATCAAGGATTATCTGTACCATGCAAAGTTAACCGTTCGAAAAGCAGACCCTCAACATTAGAAATAATCAGGAAAGCAATATCTAAAATCCAGATAAAAATTCTTCTTTTCACCTCTGCTAAATCTTAGCAGGGCCAGGATGGAGTAAACTATCTCCATTTCTTACCTTGAAGCAGCTCTGGATTCTCAAACATTTCAAGCTCCCCTACAAAAAAAGAGAAGATAGATGTTGAGATCTGCTTTAGGACTGGTAGTCCTCAACTTACAAGTTCATTTAGTGACCATTCAAAGTTAGAACGATGCTGAAAAAAGTGAGTGATGACCATTATGACTATTGCAGCATTCCCATGTATGTTCCTTTCTCCTATCTAAATGGAGAACAGAAGTAAGCCTTACCTGGCTGTGCATACGCCATGGTATTCATATCCCAGCCTGGTCAATGCAGAAAAAGAAAAGAAGATTAAAATAGGTGGCTAACCCTTACAAAAGAATATATATTCTTTCATTATTATATCCACACTTTTCATTTTTGTATGAAATGAAACTTTCATACTTATTATATCTTTCTAAATTCCCCCTTTCTACAGTATTCAGGACCTTAGTTGCATACAATAGGGAAGTACATGCATTTGATGGGCTTCTGTCCTCTATAAATGTACACTGGTAATCCTCGACTTACACCCATTCATTTAGCAAATGTTCAAAGTTACAACAGCACTGAAAAAAAGTGACTTATGACCAATCCTCAAACTTACAACCGTCTTAGCTTAACTGCCATCACAAGGTCAAAACTGGGATGCTTGGCAACTGGAGTGTATTTATCATAGTTGCAGCATCCTGAGATCATATGATTTCCATTTGTGACCTGCCCAGCTGGCTTCTGTCAAGCAACATCAATGGGGGAAGTTGGATTTGCTTAACGACCATGTGATTCACTTAACAACCATAGTGAAAAATGGACATAAGTCACTTTTTTTCAGTGCCGTTGTAACTTTGAACGGTCACTAAATGAACTTGTGGTGTTTATCAGCCATCCTTGTCTTCTACAGAAATTGCTTTCTCGGCAACTTCACATCACTCCTTATTTTATTCACAAGTGTTAAAACAAGTCCAGAGAATCACTAGGACAATGGGGAAGCTATAATTTAAATCCTCTAAAAAGAGATTGAAGGATCTGCGCCTATTCAGCCTTGAAGAAAGAATGAAGAGGATTGTAAGGCTCTTTATACATTGAAAAGGATAATACAGGCACAAAAGGTCAAGGTGTGTTTGCCCTGATTCCAGAAATAATGCAAGCTATGAATTACAGCTGGTCTAAACAGAACATGGAATGGAACGGAATGGAACAGTATAGGAATAGAATAGAAAATAGAAATAAGAACAGAATAGAGAAATAGGAATAGAATAGAAAATAGTAATAAGAACAGAATAGAAAAATAGGAATAGACTAGACTAGGACAGGATAGGGAGGAAAAGAGAAGAGAGAAGAGGAGAGAATATAGAAATAAGAACAGAACAGAATAGAATATGGGGTAGAATAGAATATAGGAGAGGATAGGAGAGAAGAGAAGAGAAGAGAAGTGAAGTGAAGTGTGGGGGAAAATGCATGCGCAGCAAACTGCCATGCTTTCTCCCCACAAACCTCATAACTTTTTGATACCCTTTGTCCCTGTGAAGCAGCCAGAAGGTCATCCCCCTTTTGACTTAATACCTCACCTATCTAAACAGATAATATGCTTAAGTTACTTCCTATCTCTTCCTGCCTTTGTCAGTTCTTTCTCCTTTTGATCTACCTGTATTTGTTATTTACCTGGTCTCTGATCAGGTAATATGTTACTAGAAAATAGTTGCTTATATGAAGGAATTTTCCAATGAAGAAACTTTATGTCAGCATCTAATGGTTAACCTTATGAATGTAAAATGTCAGCATTTAATGGTAAAAGCCTATGTATGTAAAAAGTATATAAAAACCAATAAACACACAGAGACTCTCAAGCTGTCTCAAGCTGTGACAAGCAGCTCTGCAGCAGCTTCAAATCTCTGCTCAAGAAATGCCTGAGTCTTTTTCTTAGCGTCTTACAGAGAAGAGAGAAATAAGAACAGAACAAAGTAGAATAGAATAAGGAAAACAGAACAGAACAAAATAGGATTGTAAGGGACCTTGGAGGTCTTCTACGCTAACCTGTTTTCACATATGGCTTATTGTCATTTCAGAGGGATCCATTAAACAGGAAACCAGGAAGAAGATATTTTATCTCTTTATGCTGGGTTGAAGGGCACCATAAAAGAATTTAAGGAAATTCTCAGTTGAGCAGTTATAAACCGCTCAGCTGGCTTGTAATGCTTCCTTTTGCCACTAGATGGCCATCTAGATTCTTCCCAAATTTTGACCATCTCTGCAGAACAAACATATCCAAATATAACCGAGGTTTATTTGAAATTCTAAATTCCCCCCAAAATACTCAGATCCCCCAATTCTGCTATTTCTTCCTGGAAATGGACTCAGACTGAAATCCAGCTTCTCCAATCCCTAGTTAATTTTTACAGCCCCAATTTTCTGAGCTTAATCCCTTCAACAGCAACTTTCTCCAACTCCCAAGCATTTTGGAGAGGCAATAAATACTCCGGAACCCTATAAATAAACTCACCAATAAAAGACACTTATAAACTGTTGAAAAGTTTTACAAAAGTTTCTGAAAAAGATGTTTCTCCTTGCTTGACCCTGCAAAAGAGTTCTCATCCTGCAGCCCTCCACAAAGTTTGCAAAGTTCTTATCCAGCATTGGAATGATGGAAAGCATAGGTAGTCCTCGGCTTATAACCATTCATTTAGTGACCGTTTAAAGTTATAATAGTCCTGCTGCATCTCCATTTCGTCTTCTTTTTTATATCTTTTCTCTCTCTGCAATACACAGGTAGCCCTTTAGTCCACGACTCATTTAGTGACCGTTCAAAGTTACAACAACACTGGAAAAGTAGACTGATGACCATTTTTTGCACATACGACCATTGCAGCATTCCCACGGTCATGTGATCAAATTCCAAACACTTGGCCACTGACTCGTATTTATGTCAGTTGCAGTATCCCCAGGTCATGTGATCATCTTTTGCGTCCTTCTCACAGTGAATTCAATAGGGGAGCTGGATTCACTTAACAACCATGTACCTAACTTAACAACTGGGGTGGTTCACTTAACAACTATGGCAAGAAAGACAGAGCAAAAGTCACTTAACAAGTGGCTCTCTTAGCACCAGATATTTTGGGCTCAGTTGTGGCTGTAAGTCAAGGACTACCTGTACAGGCAGTCTTCTACTTACAACATTTGTTTACAACATTCAGAGTTATGAAGATAATGAAAAAAAAATGACATGACTGGTCCTCACATTGACAGCAATCAGAGCATCCTTACAGTTATGCAGTCAAAATTTGGGTACTTGTCAACCAGCATGTATTTACCAGGATGGTAGGGATCTGAGGTCAGTTATGGTTGCCTTCTGGCCTACACCTCTGGGATCTCTTGGTGGCCTCCTATCCAAATACAGGTAGTCCTTGACCTAGGACCGCGACTTAGCCCAAAATTTCTATTGCTAAGTGGCTTTCTGTTGACCCAGGAGCTTTGCAATGGTCATAAATAAGAACCAGTTGCCAACCCTACGAATTTTGATCACATGAGCATGGGGATGCTGCAGTGGTTGTAAATGTGAAAAATGGTCATAAGTCACCTTTTTCAACGTTGTTGCAACTTTGGTCACTAAATGAACTGTTGTAACTCAAGGACTATCTATACCAAACAGTTCTGAATTTGCGTTCCTTTCTTGAGATCAATCAGAGTCAAGAGGTTTGCATTATAAATAACTTAAGACTTCCCTTTCCTCCTCCTATGTGTCTTGGCCTGCTGTAATCCCAATTTTCCTTTTGCAGTTCAGAATAAATGGAATCCAGGGTTCAACAGCCTTACCATAATCTAAGTTCACCAAGGTGAAGAGAGCCGGGCATTTGACAAAAACAACTTCACCCAACAAAGCTGGTTTCCAGCAAGTGATGTTATCCCACATCCCGGCGCAACCTGTAGAAAGGAAAAACAACACAGAAAACAGACAGCAGAGAAAGAGCTGGTGGTCCATTGCAACTGCCTTGGAAGGATTGTCTGTTTGTGTTTTCTTTTTAATTTATTTCTTGCAATAGAGTAGAATAGAGTAGAGTAGAGTAGAGTAGAGTAGAGTAGAGTAGAATAGAGTAGAGTACAATAGAATAGAATAGAATAGAAATAAGAATAGAACAGAACAGAACAAGAACAGAACAGAGTAGAGTAGAAATAAGAATAGAATAGAAATAAGAACAGAACAGAACAGAACAGAACAGAACAGAACAGAATAGAATAGAATAGAATAGAATAGAATAGAATAGAATAGAATAGAACAACAAAGTTGAAAGGGATCTTGGAGGTCTTCTAGTCCAACTCTCTGCTCAGGCAGAAAACCCTACCATTTCAGACAAATGGTTGTCCAGTCTCGGAGCATCCACAACTTCTGGAGCAGTTGTTCCAATTGTTCTATGTCAGGAAATATCTCCTTAGTTCTAAGGTTGCTTCTCTCCTTGATAAGTTTCCACCCGTTGCTTCTTGTCCTGTCCTCAGGTGCTTTGGAGAACAGCCTGACTCCCTCTTCTTTGGGGCAGCTCCTGAGATACTGGAACTCTGCTATCATGTCCCACCTCGTCCTTCTCTTCATTAAACTAGACATCCCCAATTCCAGCAGCTGTTCCTTATATGTTTTAGCCTCAGGTCCCCTGATCATCCTTGTTGCTCTTCTCTGCACTGTTTCTAGAACCTCAACATCTTTTTTACATCGTGGTGACCAAAACTGGATGCAGTATTCCAAGTGTGGCCTTACCGAGGCATTGTAAAGTGGTATTAACACTTCACGTGATCTTGATTCTGTCCCTCTGTTAATGCAGCCTAGCACTGTGTTGGCCTTTTTGGCAGCTGCAGCACACAGTAGGCTCCTATTTAAGTGATGGTCCACTAGGACTCCGAGGTCCCTCTCACAGTTACTACTATTGAGCAAGGTACCCCCTATACTATACCTGTACATTTGGTTTTTCTTGCCTAAATGTAGAACCTTACTTTTTTCACCATTGAATTTCATTTTGTTAGATAGCGCCCAGTATTCAAGTCTGTCCAGATTCTTCTGTATCTTAAGCCTGTCTTCTGGAGTATCTTTATTACTTTGTAATTGCTATTTTTTATTTTCTATATTATTATTATTCTATTTATTATTTTCTAATTCTATTTTATTACCTATTTATTTATTAATTCATTATTTTTCATTTATTATTTTGTTTTTTATTCATTTTTTATTTTCTATTTCATTATTTGTTTGTTTTTTATTTCATTATGTTTTATTTTATTTTATATTTCATTGGGTCACATGATCAAAACTCAAGACACCTGGCAACTGACTCATACTTACGATGGTTGCAGTGTTGGAAATTGAGGACTATCTGTGTATAAAACTTAAGTCTAATGGCACTTGAGAACTTCACGGACACCTTGGCAGTAGTACACATGTGATTTGTTTATTGTGGTTTTTCTGGGATGCTTTTTTTAAAAATGTACATTCTGGAATTTTCTGCCTATTTCTAACCAGATCGATTCCCACTTAGCTTTGGAACAATGTGCTGTGTCGCATGTTAAGTTGAACAAAATCAAATTTGGTTGCTGGCTCACGCTCCTGTTTCAACTGCCACACTAGCAAATCACACAAAAAAACAGACATGGCCCTAAAACTATTAAAAAATAAATTAAAATTTTAGAGAGACCCCTTTTAACAACACATTTGGGTAGGGCAGAAGTACAGTAGTTTAAGGGAAGCCCAGGTTGCACTCTCTTAAAAATATGAACAAGGGGAAGAGAAAAAAAAAAGCAAAATGGTTTTGATTAAAATTAATAAAATGAAATTTTGGTGACGTTTTCCCCATGGATTTAATTACATCCCCTTTCTGCCCCATCCAAAATTTATAATTTCCATAGCAACTTTGGGAGGTGTTTTGATGGCCAAAACAGGATTATGTAATGACTGCACCCCTGCATTGCAGCAATCATAAAATGTATGAATGGAGAACAGATCACATTGTCTAAGTAGCCTGTTTTCTCCAACGGAGAGTTTTAAAATGAAAAATCAGCTCTCTTGTTCCGTCTTCCCCAGGTGGGAACCAGGTGCAGGGCTTGTAGTCATACAATTCTATGCCATTAAATTTATGTTTGTTTATTGCATTATTAGATTTTTTTTATCCTGCCTTTATTATATTACAAGTAAGGTAATGTACATAATACTGCTTCCTCCTCCTGTTCCCCCACCCAACAACAACCCTGTGGGGTGGACTGGGCTGAGAGAGAAAGTAACCCCCCCCCCCCGTCTTTCATGCCTAAGGTGGGACTAGAACTCACCGTCTCCTGGGGACTGGCCCAAAGTCACCCAGCCAGCTTTCATGCCTAAAATGGGACTAGAACTCACAGTCTCCTGGTGATTGGCTCAAAGTCACCCAGCCGGCTTTTATGCCTAAAATGGGACTAGAACTCACAGTCTCCTGGTGATTGGCCCAAAGTCACCCAGTCAGCTTTTATGCCTAAAATGGGACTAGAACTCACAGTCTCCTGGTGATTGGCCCAAAGTCACCCAGCTAGCTTTCATGCCTAAGGTGGGACTAGAACTCACAGTCTCCTGGTGATTGGCCCAAAGTCACCCAGCCAGCTTTCATGCCTAAGGTGGGACTAGAACTCACCGTCTCCTGGTGATTGGCCCAAAGTCACCCAGCTGGCTTTCATGCCTAAGGTGGGACTAGAACTCACTGTCTCCTGGTGATTGGCCCAAAGTCACCCAGTCAGCTTTTATGCCTAAAATGGGACTAGAACTCACAGTCTCCTGGTGATTGGCCCAAAGTCACCCAGCTAGCTTTCATGCCTAAGGTGGGACTAGAACTCACAGTCTCCTGGTGATTGGCTCAAAGTCACCCAGCCAGCTTTCATGCCTGGTTTCTAGCCTGATGCCTTAACCACTGCACTGAACTGGCTCCAAATTCCATCTTTATCCCTGGAAAATTAACAAGGGTTCCCTAAAGAAGGAACCATGGGGTAGACCAACATGTCCTCAATTTCAAGATCAAGAGTAAATCAACCCTTGAGGGTAGGAACAGTTGAAATCAACCACCCATGTTGGTGGTCATCCCAGATGTATCAGCCGGGTTGGCAAACCTTTATGGAACGTCCAGCCTGTCTCCTATGGGAAGGACCTAAAAGTCCTTTACTAAAGTCGGCAAGGGTCAAGAGACAGAAGCTTTCATCCACAAGCCTCACGATCTGTGGAGATGCCATTTCCCATCATTGCTGAATGCCAAGAGAAGGCAATCTTAGGAATTTGCAATTAAAGCTTCAAAGGGGAAAACCCACTCATTTCCTCTCCTTTTCTAGAAATCTTTTGTTTCTCTTTCTTCTCCAATTATGGATGGACAACAGCCCTCCTGGAGCTGAACAATTTTTCAGGTAGTCCTAAAGTTATGTCCATAATGAAGCCTACTGATGTGTTTTTATGACCTTTTTTGAGAGTTGAATGCAACACAATTTCATTTGAAGGTATGCTGATTAGTGTACATTTAAAGTGACAGTAAAGTTTCTATTCTATTCTGTTCTGTTCTGTTCTATTCCCTTATTCCTCTATTCTATTCTATTCTATTCTATTCTATTCTATTCTATTCTATTCTATTCCCTTATTCCTCTATTCTATTCTATTCTATTCTATTCTATTCTATTCTATTCTATTCTATTCTATTCTATTCTATTCTATTCTATTCTATTCTATTCTATTCCCTTATTCCCCTATTCTATTCTATTCTATTCTATTCTATTCTATTCTATTCTATTCTATTCTATTCTATTCCCTTATTCCTCCTATTCTATTCTATTCTATTCTATTCTATTCTATTCTATTCTATTCTATTCTATTCTATTCTATTCCCTTATTCCCCTATTCTATTCTATTCTATTCTATTCTATTCTATTCTATTCTATTCTTATTCCCCTATTCTATTCTATTCCTATTCCTATTCTATTCTATTCTATTCTATTCTTATTTCTATTCTATTCCATTCCATATTCTATTCTATTCTATTCTATTCCATTCCATTCTATATTCTATTCTATTCTAATTTCTATTCTTATTCTATTCTATTCTATTCCATTCCATATTCTATTCTATTCTATTCTATTCTATTCTATTCTATTCTATTCTATTCTATTCTATTTCCATTCCATATTTCACTTCTCCTATCCTATCCTATCCTATCCTATCCTATCCTATCCTATCCTATCCTATCCTATCCTATCCTATCCTATCCTATATTCTGTATTTTCTTTTCTATTCTTTTTTGCAGTGCTCATTAAGTGGATCACTATGGCTGTTAAGTGAATCCACATTATTAAACAAATGCTGTGGTTGTTAGGCTAAGCAGTGATTCTCCATCATAGGATTTTAAGGAAAACTGGATGTAAACGTCGGTTCTTGGTAGAAACATCACAAAATACGGTCATGTGACTCTGGGGCAGGGTAAAGAGCCGTGAACTGCAGTCATGTGGCAGGAAGGGCAACTGTTAGAATTTTGAATCTGGGTCATAAGTATTGACCCCTCCCCCTCACTAGGTCCATATGTCAATACTCTGAAAAGTCATTAAATGACCGAATTGTAAGTTGAGGACCACCCACTTCCTTTCATTTTCTGGAATGTTCCTGGCGGCCTTGCTCCTAAGGATATTTAATCTGGATGTTTTTACTTGTGTTTTTATTGTTTTTTTTAAAAACTTTTTTTAGTATTTTTAATTGTAATACAGATTTTGGAGTTGTAAGGTGTGTGGAGTCGTAGAAATTGAATGAATGAATCAATGCAGGGACTCCTTGACTTACGACAACAATTGACCCCAAAATTTCTGTTGCTAAACGAGACATTGGTTGTGAGTTTTGCCCCATTTTACAATCTCCACTGCCATTGTTATTAAGCAAATCACTTCAGTTGTTAAGTGAATCTGGTTTCCCCATTGACTTTGCTTGTCGAAAGGTCGCAAAACAGGGGCACAAAAAGGTCATAAAATGGGGAAAAACTGACTTAACAAATGTCTCGCTTAGTAACATAAAACCTGGGCCCTATTGTGGACAAATGTCAAGGACTATGTGTAAAATAGAATACTTCAGGTGCTTGGGAATTAATTCAAGTTCTAAGAATAGTCCAAATATCACTAATATATGTACATATGGGGTTCGAAGCAAAGCTGTATTTTTTTTTCAAACGTAATGCTGTAAGACTGAATAATTCTATTTTTTTCAGCTGTTTTGACAATTCTATTAAAGCTCCTAACAGTTTAATAACTATGGGGGAACAATTTGCTGGTTTATTCCCTACTCTCTCAATTTGGGAGGTTAAATCTTGATATTTCACAATTTTTTCCAAGTTCCTTTTCAGCTATTCTACTTTACTGTCAGTTGGTATTGTCTTTATCTGTAAGTAATCTGTTTTTCTTCAATTACCGGGATGTCCAGCATGTTGTGCACTGGAGGTTAGCCTGTCTGAATTCAGAGGTCCCACGATATTTTATATGGTTGTTTTAAATCGCTTTTCTCCTTTTTTGGAAAAGACGGCAGAATTCTATTTAAGAACTCTTAAGGTTGAGAAGATGGTGGAGTGGGGATGGTTGAGAAGGAAGAAAGGGAAGGAGAAGAGGAAGGATGGAGGGAAGGGGCAGTAAGGGAAAGGGAACAGGAAGGGAAGGGAAGGGAAAGGGAAGGGACAGGAAGGGAAGGGAAGGAGGAAAGGAAGGGGAAGGGGAAGGGGAAGCGGGAAGGGGAAGGGGGAAGGGAAGGAGGAAGGGAAGAGGAAGGGGGAAGGGAAGGAGGAAGGGAAGGGGAAGGGGAAGAGGAAGGGAAGGAGGAAGGGAAGGGGAAGGGGGAAGGGAAGTAGGAAAGGAAGGGGAAGGGAAGAGGAAGGGGGAAGGGAAGGAGGAAGGGAAGAGGAAGGGGAAGGGAAGGAGGAAGGGAAGGGGAAGGGGAAGAGGAAGGGAAGGAGGAAGGGAAGGGGAAGGGGGAAGGGAAGGGAAGTAGGAAAGGAAGGGGAAGGGAAGGGGGAAGGGAAGGAGGAAGGGAAGAGGAAGGGGAAGGGAAGGAGGAAGGGAAGGGGAAGGGGAAGAGGAAGGGAAGGAAGAAGGGAAGGGAAGTAGGAAAGGAAGGGGAAAGGAAGAGGAAGGGGGAAGGGAAGGAGGAAGGGAAGGAGGAAAGGGAAGGGGAAGGGAAGAGGGAAGGGGGAGGAGGAAGGGAAGGAGGAAGGGAAGAGGGAAGGGATGGAAAGGAAGAAGGGAAGGGACAAGAAGGGACAGGAAGGTAAGGAGTTAACAGAGGAAGGGGAGAGGAATTGTCCTACCCATTTTGTCCTAGTCACCAAAAATACAGCTGGAGCCAGAGGAAAGAATGGTAAAAACAATGTTACAGGAAGGAAGGAAGGAAGGAAGGAAGGAAGGAAGGAAGGAAGGAAGGAAGGAAGGAAGGAAGGGAAGGGAAGGGATGAAGGAGACAACAGCTTACACAATAGTTTGAATACATGGTGACCCTATTTCAGTGTAAGCCTCTTCCTGCTTTCTTAGTTCTTCTTTTCTGTTTGCCAGTGGTTGTCGGAAGGCCTTACCTTTTTGTTGGATGAAATAAAGTGATTTTTTTTTTTTAAAGAGAGAAAAGAGACCCTTCCACATTTTTCCAATTCTGACACCAAGAGGGCATGAGACAAAACGTCCCTCTCAGCCCCACTGCACACATCCACAACTCCCAAAGGACATTTTTTCTGCTGCTTTTCCCAAATTCCTCTTTTCTTTCCACAAAACAATATTGTCGATGAGCAAAAACACAACGGCGGGAATTCTCCTGCTGCCAATAGAGCCGAACGAGCGTTGCAGCCATTAGAAGCAAATGAGCGAAACAGCCGGGACTGATGTGCAGGGTGTTTGTGTGTGGAAATTAGGGCCAGTTTTTGCCAAGTTGGGGGGGGGGGAGAGAGACAATTTCACAGATGTGAATTTTGGAAAATGTTGCCTGCTCCATGGTGACAGGGTCTAAGACAGCTGTGCCTTGCTCGGGAGTAAATGGGCATTTGGGATGTTCGTGTAATGCAATGGTTCTCAACCTTTTTAATGCCGCGACCCCTAACCGGTCGTAAGTCGAGGACTACTCAACTGGTCGTAAGTCGAGGACTACTCAACTGGTGCAGCACCGTTTGCAGAATGGGACTTTTGGCGGGCTCAGCAGGGCAGAGATAGCCTGGCCAATTCCTATTAGCTTTGGAAAGCCAATAGAATTAGACTCTATTCAAGGGAGTCTATTCAATTGGCTTTCAAAAGCCAATAGAATAAAAGGGAGTAGCACAGCTAAGGAAAAGGGGGGGGAAATGGCGGATTGCGTTGTTTGGCAACCCCCGTGAAATGGTCGTTCGACCCCAAATGGGGTCCCGACCCACAGGTGGAGAACCACTGGTGTAATGCCTCAATCCAGGGTTTGCCAGATGCAACAGCAAGATCTTATTTCAACAGAAGAGAAGATTTATAACTCAGGGTTTAACTGTGGGGTGCTTGGTGGTCTCGGAACATGGTGCTCTGCTTGCAGATGTTTCATGACCCAGCTAGGTAACAATGTCAGTGCTAGGAGGGAATGGGGACTGGGAGGAGGAGGAGGAGGAGGAGGCTGTGGGGTCCTTGGTGATCTCTGAACTTGGTTGTTTCTTTGCAGACGTTTCATGACCCAACTAGGGAACTTCATCATTGCTAGAAGGGAGTGGGATTTGTGGAGAAGAGGAGGAGGAGGAGGAGGAAGAGGAAGAAGAGGAGGAGGAAGGGGGGGGAAGAGGAGGAGGACTGTGGGGTCCTTGGTGTTCTCTGAGCTTGTTTTAATGCAGGCGTTTCATGACCCAACTAGGGAACATCATCAGTGCTAGGAGCGAATGGGGTTTGCCGAGAGGAGGAGGAGGAGGAGGAGGAGGAGGAGGAGGAGGAAGAAGAAGAAATGGGGTCCTTGCTGATCTTTGAACTTGATTGTTTTATGACCGGACCAGACAACAATATCCTCAGTTCCAAAAGGAAATGCTATTTGCACTAATTTTATATATAGGTGAGGAACTCAAGTTATGGCCACCACTGACCCGAAAATTTCCCGTGCTAAGCTGTATTCCATGTGACTCGCTTAACAATTGCAGTGCTTCAGCAGGAGGTTGGACTAGATCCCCTCCAAGGTCCCTCCTAACTGTGTTGTTCTGTTTTGATTAACAATCCAGCTCAACTCTCTTAACAGCCACCAGGCTTTAGCAAAGGAAATTAATTGTGTTCTTAATAAGTCTGGAACTACCTTATAAAGAATTATTAGCTTCAGTGCTGACTTAACCGCAGTTCATTTTGTTTGAAGTTACAACACCACTGAAAAAAGTGACAATCGCTTTTCACACTTACAACCGTTGCAGCGTCCCTGTGATCACATGATCCTAATTCAGTCGCTTGGCAACTGACTCGTACTTATGATGGTTGCAGTGTCCCGGGGGTCACGCGATCCCCTTTTGTGACCAACTGACCAGCAAAATCAATGGGGAAGCCAGATTCACTTAACGACCGTGGTATTAACTTAACAACTTCAGGGGTTCACTTAACAACTGTGGTAGAGAGGTTGCAAAACGAGGCAAAAATTACTTTTGCCTAGCAACATAAATGTTGTGCTCCATGGTGATCTCCCGTATTATTTTTCTTATGGATTTTGTGATCTGGCAGGATTTTACTGATTTTACTGAATTTGAGATCTGGAAGGAAAGGAAACTGGTCATTTGTGACGGGTTCCAGCACGTACCTGGGGTTGATCCATTGACGGTCATAGTAGCCGTCAGTTTCTGGATGGTGTCTAAACACGCTTCTTGTTCCTTCTTGATGAAACAGTTTGAATGCATGGATGCAGCCTGTGGGAAAGCACAGAAGAGGCCCACGGTGAGAACGCCAGGCTGCATGGCAATGGGAAGGAATGGAGGATCAATGGCTGATTAGCTATCTACACACCTGTCTGTTTCTGTTAATCCATCTACCCCCCTCTCTCCCTCCCTCCCTCCCTCCCTCCATCCATCCATCCATCCATCCATCCATCCATCCATCTATCTATCTACTATCTATCTATCTTCTATCTATCTATCTATCTATCTATCTATCTATCTATCTATCTATCTACTATCTATCTATCTATCTATCTATCTATCTACTATATCTATCATCTACCTATTTCTCGATTTAACCTCTCTCTCTCTCTCTCTCTATTTCTCTATCTATCTCTCTATTTAACTTATTTCTCTATCTATTTCTTGATCTATCTATCTATTTAATGATCTATCTATCTATTCATCCATCTATTTATTTATTTATTTATTTATTTACAAATATTTATATGCCGCCCAATCCCAAAGGACTCAGGGCGGCGTACAAAATTAAAAACAGTCGTAAAACAATAAAACAATCCAATAAAATAATCCAGTCATACCTACTTATCATCTATCTATTTATATATCATTTTCTTTCTCTCCATCTCTCTCTCTCTCTCTCTTTTTCTCTTTCTGTCTCTCCATTTCTCCATTTTATCTTATCTATCATCTCTATCTATCCATCTATCTCTACCTACCTATCATCTATTTATATATCATTTTCTTTCTCTCTTTCATCATCTACCATTTATCTATGTATCTGCAGTATACCTTATCCACATCTATCTATCTATCTATCTATCTATCTATCTATCTATCTATCTATCATCTATATATCTATATATCATCTATATTTATCATCCATCCATCCATCTTTATCTTCTCTCCCTCCCTTCCTTCCTTTTTCTCTCCTTCCATATTTCTCTCTCTCCCTACCTGCTTCTTTATTTCCTTGCTTCCTTGCTTCCTTCCTTCATCTATCTATCTGTCTGTCTGTCTGTCTGTCTGTCTCTTTCTGTCCGTCCGTCCATCCGTCTGTCCATCCGTCCATCCATACCTATCTATCTATCTATCTATCTATCTATCTATCTATCTATCTATCTATCTATCTATCTATCTATCTATCATCTTACATTATGTTATAAAGTGAGCATTTATAGTTACAATGGCGTTGAAAAGAATGGATCCTCACATAACCAAAACGTGGGGAGCCAGTGGGCATGGGATGGGAAGGAGAGTGCTGCAGTATCCCTTCAGTTGGTCATAAGTGTGAACAACCAGGGAGCAGTGGTGGGATTCAAATCGGTGAACAGCCGGTTCTCTGTGTGGATGCTGCTTCCGGAAGTCCATTCTGGGTCTGGGCAACAAAAAATTAACTACGGGTTCTGCCGAAATGGTGCGAACCGTCTGAGTCCCACCACTGCCATGGAGGCATTTGTCTATGGAGATTCTCCATCATCCAGGTCATAGTTATCCCAAAGATGCTTTTCCAGGAGGCCTCTGGACTTTCTTGTTTTTCTTTGAAGACATTTCACTTCTCATCCAAGCAGTTTCTTCAGCTTCACCATCCAGTCAGAGCTGAAGAAGCTTCTTGGAGGAGAAGCGAAACATCTTCAAACGAAAACAAAATAGTTCAGTTGTCTCCTGGAAAAGCATCTTTGGGGCTACTATGGAGGGACTAAAGCACCATAACTCCAAAACAGGAGGCTTTTGGGGGTGGGGGAGTCTGTTGCAACTTTGAATGGTCACCTAAGCGAACGGTCATAAGTCCAGGACTAGCTGTAGTAACCCTAATGAGCTGATTCCATAAAGAGTACGGCTGCTACATTCCCTTCTGCATGGCATCCCCGAATGAAATGCACGTCTGCAGGTAAACCGCTAAAGAAATGCGGACGTTGCAGGCAGCGTTTTAAATCTTCCTCGATTGCTCTCCCTGCCGAGTTGGCACACCACTGTTTCTATTTTCCAACACAACCCTTTTGTGGCATTCACAATGATTCTACAAGAGGTTCTGATTTGACTCGAGATGCCTTCAGCGAGTGTGTTGATTGCTTCCAGCACCGAATCAAGAATCCGTCACAATTTCCTCCCAAGACAACAGAGTACAAGATGATAGCTAGCGCAGGGCGAGGAGTGTCGAGAAGATGCAAATCAAAGCAATGTCTGGAATCAAATTCTTTGGGGTGCCTGGGAAATACAGCTAGTCCTCGGCTTATAACGCTTCATTTAGTGACCGTTCAAAGTAACAATGCCACTGAAAAAGGGGACTTAGGAACGTTTTTCACTCAGGTGACCCAGTTGCAGCATCTCCATGATTCACGTGATCAAAATTCAAACAGTTGACAGCTGACTCATTTTTATGACCGTCGCAGTGTCCCTGGCTCACGTAATCCTCTTTTGACTTCTGACAAAGCAAAGTCAATGGGGGAAGCCCAGATTCGCTTAATGATCGTATCACTAACTTAACAACTGCAGTGATTTGCTTAACGACCATAGCAAGAATGGTCGTAAAATGGAGCAAAACTCATTTAACAAATATCTCACTTAACAACATACATTTCAGCTCAGTTGCAGTTGTAAGTTGAGGACTACCTATATGGAATTAGCAATTTTTTTGGTTTGGCAGTGACAGTTAAGAGTGTCTTAACTTGGTGACTTTAAGATAAGTGGACTTCAACTCCCAGAATTCCCCAGCCCACAAGCTTAAGGACGGCATGATTCACTTAACAACTGAGGGGATTCTTGCATTTATGACGGCTGCAGCATCCCAGGTCACATGACCCCTGATTTGTAACCTTCCCAGCCAGCATTTAACAAGCAAAGTCAATGGGTTTAAGATGGGTGGACTTCAACTCCCAGAATTCCCCAGTCACCATGGTACCCCTAATCCTCTAAACTACATAGTTTAGAGATCTTTAGGGGACAAAGTTTTCTTGTCTTGTGAATTAATTCAGCTTCTTTAGTTGTGAGTTCTCTTTAATATAGAGATTCTCAACTTGAATGGCTTTAAGATGGGTGCAACTCCCAGAATTCCTCTGCCAGCATGGCACCCTATACCAGGAGTAGGCATCCTGGGCTCTTTTATGACTCGTGGACTTCAACTCCCAGAATTCCTGAGCCAGCATGGCTCAGCTTAGAAACCTCTCCCTTTCCCCTCAGCTTGGCTGGCTCAGGAATTCTGGGAGTTGAAGTCCACGAGTCATAAAAGAGCCAAGGTGGCCTACCCCTGGCTTATATGCTAGGAAGATCTTTAGCATGCAAAGATTTTTCTCTCTCTCTGGTAGATTAATTCAGCTTTAGGTGTTTCTCAACCTTGGCAACTTTAAGATGGGTGGACTTCACACTTATGACCGTTGTAGCATCCCCATAGTCACGGGATCAAAATTCAGACGCATGGCAACTGATTTGCATTTATGAGGGGTTGCAGTGTCCTGGGATCACATGATCCTCTTTTGCGACCTTCCGGAAAGCAAAGTCAATGCCAGATTCACTTAGCAACCATGTTACTAACTTAAGAACTACTGCGTTTCACTTCACAACTTTGAGACAAGAAAGGTCGCAAAATAGAGCAAAATTCACTTAACAAATGTCTCACTTAGCAACCAATATTTTGGTTCAATTGTGGTCGTACATCAGGAGTGTCAAACTGCCAGCCCGCTGGCTGGTTTCATCATACCGGAGCTGCGCCCACCCCATTGCCGGCAATGTTGAAAAAGCTCCGATACATCATGCGACGTCATGTGACATCGCGAGTTTGACATGTCTGTCGTACATCAAGGACTACGTGTACACAGATGATATATGATAGATAATAGAGAGAGAGAGAGCTGTAAGTAGATAGAGAGAGCGAGAGAGAGAGCTAATAGATAGATAGATAGATAGATAGATAGATAGATAGATAGATAGATAGATAGATGATGATAGATAGATAGATAGACACACGCAGATGATATATGATAGATAGATAGATTTGTAGATAAAAGATAGATAGATAGATAGATAGATATAGAGATAGATAGATATAGAGAAATAGAGAGATAAAGAGAAAAAATAGCTTGAGAGAGTGAAAGAGAGATAGCAGAGAAAGAGATAAAATGGATGGATAGATGAGAGAAAAAGAGAGAAAGAGAAAGACAGAGGGATGGGTAGATAATAAGAGAGAGGATAAAGAGATAGATAAATAGACAGATCGATAGACAGACAGAGAAAGAGAGAGAGAAAGAGAGGTATTTTGCTGTCATTTTGTAGGTATGCCCTTGTATAGACAGAAAAATGACAATAAAAGGTATCTTAACCTTAATCTTTTAGCAATTTCCTCCCTATTATTTTCTCTCAAGAGATTAAAGGTGAGATTCTGTTTGAATTTTTTTTTTAAAAAAAAAAATGGTGTTCTGTATTTTAACTTTTTTTGAATAAAATAAAAATAGTTTTTTTTTAAAAAAAAGGAAATCACAATTCTTTGCATTGCACTGATGAAATTCTTCCAGTTTTCTAAATAACATTTATCCAAGAAAAAACAACAACACCCGAAACTATTCTTAGTGGACCTAAATTGGCTTTATTTTATTTTCCCCTGTGATTGTAAATATGGATATTTCCTTTTCAGAGGGTGTGTCTGGAAGCTTGGAATGAAATTCAAAAAGGAAAAGCAGTCTAGAAATTTATCCAAAATCACTGCCAAAATCCACCCAAGGAGAAAGCTTCAATTGATTGGGTAATTAAATTAAAACTCTCCTTCCCTTTGGCTTTAAAAAATCTTCAGTTTAGCCTCTGGCACAATGTCAGAGTTCCTCCTAATTCTCTCCTCAGAGGTCATTTAAGAGTAAGAAGATTTCAAAACAAAATCAGTTACTGCACAGTGGATGGACTGGACAACTGGACAAAATTGGACTTGCTTTAAAGACAATGGTGTTTTTATTACAGATCTTCAAAACAAGAACAAGAGGGGAAAAAATGGACGCCAGAAAGATATGGCAAAGCTAAAATCCTAC